GATAGTCAATGTAGACATGATTTTCCCTCCCTGTATCACCTGAGGACATTATATCAAATGAAATATATAATAAAAATATAAGTAAGTATGTACAATAAAATATATAGGTTGAATGACCTTAATGTGAAAATCTGAAATCTAACAGCTGAAAGTTTTTGAGCATCAGGGGATTTTGGATTGAACAAATATACTAGAATCCTGAAAATGCCAAAATCTGCAACACCTCTACTTAATCTGTTTTGTCTAAACCAGGGAAGAATAATATATGATAATTTTCTAAAATATGAGGTCTTCAAATTGGATTGTGTTGAATATGTGGATGGAAGTTCTATTCTATTCTACTATACTCTAATTTTTTATTTTGTATTTGGATGGAAAATTTAAAAAGCAGCAGCAAAGGAGGACATTTTAGGAATGACCTACTTTCTCAGAAGGAACTAGTCCAGATTTTGTTCACAAGAGTAAAAAAAATCTTTGCAATAAATGTTTTATAATAGTCTACTGATTCTCATGATTATTACCCTTCACAGATATAGCTAGAACTCTGCTGTCAAGACTCAGATCCCCATGACTGGTTATAAGACAATATGAAAGAGGCTGAGAAGGAACAATGGGAAAAAATTAAGGAATGATTGAAGAGGAGGGAGGAGCCATGATTGAAATTAAATACTATGGGACATTTTAGTAAGATTATATGTAAGAATAAAACCAAGCTGAGAACTGTATCTGCTCATCATGTTTGCTTTTCTTATATTCTTAAAAATGAGAAAAAAACAGCAAATACAAAGTACAACCAGATATAATTTTTTTTCCATGTCTGACCTTTAAAATCTAGTTTTAATTCCTTACTTTATTCTTTGCTTGGTATACCACAGTAAGAAAACTTTAAAAAAGCAAGTCTAAGTTTATTTCATTTGCCAGCCAACCAGGCAATTTTCAATTTTATGAACTGAAACTAAGCTAACAGAATGTACAACTGTAATTTAACAGAACTCCAAACTTATCTAGCAAATATATATGACAATGTTTACTAAATATAAAGAACACATAGGTCACCTATGACTATCATTAGCATTACATTGAACATGTCAATACTAGTGTTACTTTGGTTCAGCTGAGAAGAAAATGAACTGAATAGAGTAGGAAGCTGTTGTAAGCCTGGTGTATGAACCTTTAATCTGCTACCACTGGGATGAGGGAAAGGATGTGAGACAAAAATGAGAAAACCCGCACCATCAGCCCCACCTGTTCTCTACTGGTTATGGAGAGGAGACTGGGACGAATCAAAGGCAGTCTAGCAGTGGGCATGTAGGACTGAGGAAAAAGATAAGGGAAGAAAAGACAATTTCCAAAGCAAAAAGGATTCAGCATCACTTCTACTGCTTCCTTAAAGTGGCAATGACAAGAGACCACTCATCAAAGTGACCTTGATTTCTTTTAATTTTAACTCAAATCCGCCTTTGTTTGTCCAAACAAATGGTTTGAATAGCCCTTTATCTTCCCCCTTCCCAAGATTAAAAACCTAAAATGTCATTCTTACTACTGCTCTTATAATGGGAAGGTATGATAAATAATAATGGTAAAAACCAATAGACTAAATATATTCTCAGGTTCTTTTTCCATTAAAAGTCTGTCACTCTAGCTGGGTGTCGCGGTGCACACCTGAAATCCCCGCATTCTGGAAAGCTCAAACAGGAGGACTGCAAGTATGAGCCTAGCCTAGGCAATTTAGCTACCAAGCATGTCCTTTTTTTTAAAATAAAAAGTAAGAAAAGGACTGCAGGAACAGTTCAGTGCAAAGGCTCTGAGTTCAATTCCCAGTACCACAAAAAAGTAAAAAAAAAAAAAAAAAAAAAAAAAAGTCTATGACTCTACATGTAGGAAAGTCCAAATGTCTACATCCTCCTGAAGTACAAAAGCTGAGTGCTAAGAATGCAATCAGCCTTGCCTGGCTGCTCTTCTCATTTTCCCAGGGGGGTGGAAATGACAGGCATTACATATACTCTTTCCCTTCTTTCAAGGCCACTCTTGCACACTTAAAGGAAGGCAACTTTCTCTGAACACCTTCCTGTACTGCCAAAAACTCCAAGATTTTGAGATAGTAGACAAAATATGCTGAGGAAAAATTAAGAGTGAGAGAAAAGAAACAAAAAGTTTTTATTTACAGGGATAAAGGTAGAAAGATAGAAGCAGAAGGTAACATTGGAACAAGAGATTTACTGGTGGCAAAACAGAAGCATTGGAGGGTAGCATGAGGATGCTCTTGAGCATAATGAGCTCTTGAGCTCAGGGGAAGACAGGTGATGTGTAGATACCAAAGGAAAACTTGATTTCTGGGATTTTGCTTAATACAAACTTTACTCCTATACCAACAAGTTCCAGCTGCAATGCAAAGTTTAAGTCTTCAGTATTATCTTTATAGCACTGAGAGAGAAAACAGAAAAGAATGACCAGAAAGATGATATTATGAGTTATATATTGGAACCTACTTACTATAGAGGGAAGTCACATATTACTAGCATTATGTACAACAATATGACCAGAAACAAGATTTCTGGTACAAAGAACAGTAAAGATTTGACTTGTTCCTTAAAAACGTACAAACATGGGTCTGGGGATTTAGCTCAGTGGCATAAGCACCTGCCTTGCAAGCAGGTGGTCGTGAGTTCAATCCCCGGTACCAATAAAAAAAAAAAAAAAAAGTACAAACACCAGTAAAATTAAAAAAAAAAAAAAAGACAACCCCAAAATTCTAAGAGAGATAGGAAGCTACAAAACTTTTTGAACTAAGCATCTTAGATGATGAAAGCAAGCTTGACAAACATTGAATATTGCTATTTAAACATCATTCTCATCATGGCTGAGTATAAAGTAAATGAGTAGGTAACTCTGGGAAGGTTGGTTGTCATTATGAACACAAAACAAAAGCAAGAAGTTTGTGCCATAAAATATAAATTAAGAACAGAAAAATAGAAAAGAAAAAACTTTTAAATGACAGCTTACTGCTGGGCTGTATTTTGACGGATAAAAGTCATTCCCAATGGTATGGGATTTGACAATTTAAAAGGAAATGTAATTCATACTGGTAACAGTTGGCTGACTGATAAAGAGCTAAAAAAGTGAACTGACAAAAAAGGAAGCCACACTATATACCTAGAAAGTCAAATTAGAACTAGGATATATATTTCAATATATACAATACTGAAAATACAATACAATAGGAAAACGTATCTTCAAAATTACACCTTTTATGACCTGTAGTAAGAATCAAAGATTGGGCAGCTTCTATGAACTCAATTCTTTTTTACTCTGTACTAGATACTCCTTTGCGCTGCTTCAGAACTTAATGCAATTTTGAATAGAGCTTGTACTATATAACGGTAGGCGAAAGAAAGGCTATTTCTGCAGAAAAAGTAACAGAAGGGAAACAGCTGTGACTTGGGTACTCATACATCTGGAGAATGGTAGTAGCAATGTGTGCAAGAGAGTGAAAATCAGCTAAGGACAGGGCAGAGGTGTGCAATGATGAAGGATTTTCTGTGGAGAAGAGCCTGTTTATCTGTCAGAATGCATTGTGTTGTACTGTCAAGAGATTTTTTTTATGGGCAATAAAAAACGAAAGGCAAGAATTTATTAGAAAAAAAGTGAAAATGGTTTTGTAGTGAAAAGAAGAATTAAATACTCCAAATCACTTCTCATTCTAAGGTGTATGGCATCCATATAAAAATAACACATAAGAGCTGGGCATGTGGTACATGCTCATAATCCCAGCATTCTGGAGGCTGAGACAGGAAGATCACCACAAGACTGAGGCCAGCCTTGGCTAGTGAGATCCTGTCCCAAAAAATCAAAAAAGAAAAAGAACAAACAAATGAACACACTGGATATTTTAATATACTGAAAAGCAGATTATAATATGCAATTCCATACATATGTATGTATGTGTGTGGAAACATATATATATTTACTTTATTACAGTCTAGCATTAGAATAATTATTTCCCTTATAAGAATTTCCATGTATAATATAAATATGTATGTTTGGTATAATATTTCAAATGTATGAAAATAATTTTTTATTCACTTAGTAGAAAAAATTCAGATCAAGAAAAGTCCTTTACTGGAAAGTTATGCCAAACGCTCTTCTGAATGTTATATTTTATTTAACAAAACATAAAGAATGAAACATTTACAGAATATCCCTGGGTTTGAAAACAGTTCTAAGAAAAATATTTGCATTTGAACTCATGTTATTTCTTTATTTCTGGAAAGTCTGAATGTTCAACATGATAACAAAATGTTATACAATAAGGATTACTGTGCCACTGACTACGGAATATGTAAAAGGTAAATAACAGGCAATTATGGAATATAATATATTATATACATTTAATAGAACTTTCAATTATTAAATTTATAGAACAAGGGAGAGAAAATGATAATGCAGTCAATTTATAAGGCAAATTGTGCATATTCTAACTAAAATCACTTTCCACAATAGAAACTGTATCAGCTCTAGAAATTGACTGGTACTCTTATTATGTTATGATAAAATCTACTGGAAGTTAATTTTTTAAATGTCACTTTATTATACCACCAGAGGTTTATTGTTAACCAACACAGAAATTAAATAGTAAAGTGCTGAAAAGAAAAAGGGAAAGTAAAATAGAAATCATTATGAAAAATAAAAATGAGAATTATTTATATACGTAGTGACAATAATTTAAGTAGGCACTCTAGTCTTTAGAATTCTTGCAAAACACAGAAATACAGAGATTCTCTGATGGTCAAACCATTTCTCAAAGTATATTTTAAACATTTTACTATATTTTAAAATCATAAACCGTTATAGTTAAGATAATGAAGAAGCATATTTTGGTCCAAGATAAATTTCCAAGTGTGATATTTCTAAAACTGACTGCATTACTAAGCAAATTCTTCAAGTCAATTCACTGATCTCTTTTACAGAAGGATGCATTGTTTTGAAAATCAAAGACTTACGTCATCCAAAAAATCAATCAGTGAGGATGAAGAAGAAGAAAAGGAATCCTATTTAACGAATACAGCAATAAAAAAATAGAAAATATGGATGAAGCAATTCCATAAGAACAAATGATAAATCAAAATTTTATAAAACAATTGAAAGGCAAATGACATTAATTCAAATAAATAAATAAATAAATGGGAAAAGCAGTCTCTATCAACTGTTTCCAAGAAACTTAAAGATTCATTAGTTACATTTTAAAGAGCTATTGTTTTCCTTTTCACAAAGGAATGAAACATAATTTATATTCTATGCCCAAAATATTCAGTAGCAAAGTGACATTTACGACAAATCATTAACAATCAAAATAAATGTAAACACTTACAAACATAATAAATAAAAGTAAGTAGCAGAATCTCTGCTTCTAATTCTTCTCACTGGAATGTAAACTTTTGAAGACTGTCTATTTTGGATACCACTGCATCTCTAGTGCTTAGAACAGTTTCGTGCAGTTACCTGATTCTTATTTGTAGGATCAAGGTTAATCACTGACATAAATTATCAGAGACAAAATTACACTTTATAATGTGAATTTTTTCCAGCAAAAAATTCAACTAGTAAGTTATGGAATGACAAAGAGTTACATAGTCAGTATTTCATAACTGTAGAATCCATCCAGCAGATTCTGTGTAATACTTCTAACAAAAACATTCCTTATTGTATGTTTTAAAAAATGAATAGATTTGAAACAAGATCAGCAATACACTATTGTGAGCTTCTACATTCTCCCTGCAACCTTTTTTCCATACTGTTTTTTATTGTCGCTATATGCTTTGGAGAAAAATTATTTTAAAAGTTGCAATTTGTTCTGTGTTTATTGTTTTGTAAGGGAGCTGAAGTAGGTTAAAATCTAATAATGATTCTCACACTTAGGCCTTTCTTCGAGGTCTGTTAAATATATGTGTGATTGTACTTTCTGTAAGAATGCAGAACATCTTCCTTCCTTACTTTATTTTGCTTATATAAGATTTCAAGCTCTCTTATGTAAGATTCAATAAAACAAGCTCATTCCAAGTGAATTTTAAATCGCAAAATGAACTTTATATTGACAACGGAGGATATTTGAAAATACTTAATACTTACTTCAAATTGATCCAGAGCATCGGTAGGCGTATTCAAAAATGCCAAGAAAGAATGCTGTGAGTCTTGGTGCTCTATACCTAGAAGACAGCAGCAACTATTTTTAAACTAGAACAATTAAAATTAAATTTCATGGGCAACCTTTCCTATCTCAAGATATTCTAAGTATTCAAAAATTACTGTATTGTAAAGTTGATCAATATTATCAACTTTATATATTTAAAAAGTCAAAAAACTGTTTTCTAGACTACCACTGAATACTTAGCTTATATCAACTTCCATAAAATACTTGTATTTTGAGTTGCATGTTATTAAAATTCTTTTTTTCTTTCTTGCATATCATAAAAAACACACTAAATACTTGGTAGGCTTCAAAGAACTTAAAAAATAGAGGTTTATTTGTATCTTATTTTTCTAAACTTATCCAACATGTTTGTTTTGAAATACTTCAATTACATGATAAATACAATCTTTGATAAGAAAATAATGCAGTGACAAAACTTAATGATGAAAAAAAAAATTTAAGGCAATTTTGATTCTTCTACTGAAAGAATAAAGAATCCAAACCATACTTTTTCTCAGATGAACTTTTAAAAATTCATTTATAATTTCATGGCTATGATACTAACTTTAAATATATACTTTCAAAAATGATTCTTAAATATACAAATGATGATAAATAATATGGAAGATAAAGCGGAAAACAACCAATCACACAATTTTACTTTCAGACCCTTAGGAAAACAGTGATTTATATGCTTTTCATATTGCTCTCTAATAATATACAATAGTTACCAATATGTTCAGAAATTCATTTGGTAAACAAACACCTATTATATACCAGACACTGTTTTAGCTACCCCAGATATATAGAGGTAAAAAACCCCACAAAAAACCTTGCCCTCATTTTGAAATATCACATATTTGTTTTGTTTTGTCTTTTTCATTTTTAACGGTACCGAGGATCGAACTCACGACCGCCTGCTTGCAAGGCAGGTGCCTATGCCACTGAGCTAAATCCCCAGCCCCCTTATCACATATTTTTTAAAGTAGCACAGGACATTATAACACACAGTGAAATTTTATTTTGCAACATTCAAAATTATAAAGCTCTGTTAACAAGCCTTCAAAAAGCAACACAATAAACTGAAGTTTTCTTTGGTTTCAAGTTTAAGTGTAATTAAAAATGATGCAGCCTGGGGCTGAGGATTTAGCTCAGCGGCATAAGCGCCTGCCTTGCCAGCAGGCAGTCGTGAGTTCGATTCCTGGTACCGATAAAAAGGAAAAAGACAGGAAAAAAAAATGATGCAGCCAATGTCATCTGATGTGTAAGTCTCACTCTACATTGATCTCTTTCTTATTAATTGCCATTAGGGCCACAAGTTATCCATGTCTTATTCAGTCTTTTCTTTTTTCTCCCAATTATTGTACTTCCCTTATATGCTTCATGAGTTAAAACCTAAGTTGTTTCTCAACTTACATGTTGGTTTACGCATTTGAGTTCCTATTTACGCTTTTTTAAGCTCCTTACTTCTTTTATTAAGAAACTCAACAAAAATTTACTGAACATCACGTATTTCAAACAGCTTTATCTTCTTTATGTAATTATTCTTTGTTCACCACAATTTTATAAGCAGGTACAGAGCCTAGCTCTATGCTACTATGTGTTGAAGGGGTGAGAAGTGATTTAAAAAATCCTTAGGCCTAATATAAAGCCCAGTATTAATTTTAGTGCACTTTTTCAGTGATGACCTTTATAAGAAAAATTAATTCTTTATTTTTTTTTTTGTCTTTTTCATTTTTATCAGTACCGGGGATCGAACTCACGACTGCCTGCTTGCAAGGCAGGTGCTTATGCCGCTGAGCTAAATCCCCAGCCCTGAAAAATTAATTCTTAATAGTTGTATGCAAAATATTTCCAAAATAACAATCTTAATGTCTACACATTATGGAAAGAAAGTTGATGTAAAGAGCTATCAAATATTCTGAGTTAGCTTCCATATTAATGGAAAAATGCAAAAGACAAGTTTTTAAGAAAAGATAATGAATCCTGGGAAATCCCAAAGGGCAAGCAATGTAAGTATCAAACTGGAAAAAGACACTGAAATGTTCAAAAAAAATTCTTCATTATTGAACTGCATTGTTAACACTAAATTTAGATTCATCTTTAGTTGTTTCATACATTGTTTCCTCAACTGCCCAGGGAGTGAAACCACCTGCTTCAAGATTTTGTACATTCTAAGCACTTAAAAAGTACTAATAAAGACCTCTTCAAGAATTCTTACCAATTCTAAATGTTAACACACACTACCACTGCTGGAGTAATTATCTCATGCAAAAACTATTTGCCAATATTAGCATAAAGTACATTATAAAATAATTTTTCCAATTACAAAAACTGTTACAAAGAAATAGTTCATAACAATGAAAAAATTTATAGCAAAGCAAGTTTCTGTTATTATAAATTCTTAAAACAAGATATATTACGTAAAACAAAACAACTCAGGACCAGTCTAGCAAATGTGCTCCTAAATGAGTGTCAGAATTGCTTATGTAAACAATTTTCACATGAGCGCAGTAATTCTTATTAAGTGATTCTTATGTAATAAAATATATTCAGAACAAAACAATAACTCCTGAATGATGCAAACACACATTTCCATACCCTTTTCAGATCTAAGTTCTTCTGTGTCTTTTAGTAGCTGTTCAATTTCTGCTAGTAGTTCCAAATTCTTCTTCTCCGAATCTTTTAGTTTACTTTAAAAGGAGGAAAAGGGGAAAAAATGTTAGCAATTTTTATTGCTGGCTAGTGAGGTATTTTGTGTGTAGCTGGGCTTATTTGGTTTAAATGTTAAGTCATACTAAATCAAGGAATTCCAAACTCGCACAGGCAGGATCAATACAGGCTACCACAGGGTATAATGAAGAAGTAAGTTTAACTACAGCACAGCTAAGTTTTTTCGTTTCAGTATATACCATACATGTACTGTAATAGCTCAGTTGAGAACTTATGGAGAGGCTATATAGCCCTCAAAGCTTAATATATCTGCTGCCACTTTATAGAAATATTTGTTGACAATGAGTCAAATTATTAAACTAGAAAGTCATAAAGGTTAATTGTAGTTCTGTTAGAACTCAATAACAGACGAGGAAAGTGTTGCACATCTTCAGATTTATAATTTTAAATTTTCACTTACTCCTTTGCTTTATGAACAAAGGTGTAAATGCCAATGTCTGTGGTACAGAAAGTAAAGATTACACTACTCCAAAACACAACACAGAGAATGATATTTGGCTAAAGCCTGGTTTAATTAATATTCTCCAGAACACTTTCTTTTCTCTGTTCAATGCCACACAAGCACACTTAAGTGAAACATACTTAATTTATATCTATGTCATTTATAACAAAAAGCTTATAGTTTGGCAGAGTTTATAGTTTTGTATCTGACCTTTAATACGACTCAAAAACATTAATGTCTGCAGTTTAAGCACTAAGGTTTCAAGCTATTAAAAGCTCAATTTATAAACATACGTACTTTTGGAACTTCTGGTATTCTGAACACCCAATGGACTTTAATATTTATAGTTTAATTTGTAATGAGAACTTTCTATTTTACTTTTTTATAACATGTATTTTGATTTTTAAAATGTTTATTTAGTCCAAATTTATTTAAGCACATTCAGGGTGTGATATGCTCTACCTCTGTGACAAGAACGGAAGAAATGTTCATTTGTTAATGCCTGAGAGATTGCTTTTTTTAATAAAGGAACATGAAAAATAATTATAATTAAAAGATAATTGTGCCATTATGAAATCTACCATCAGTGGAACTTTAATTTGTAAAAGACATATGGTAGACCTACAATTTTCAAATGACTGTGCTTTGTTCTGATCATGTATTACATTTTTGTTCTTTTTTGTACAGGGGATAGAACTCATGACCTCATGCTTGCCGCACAGACACTTATACTGCAGAGCTAAATCCCCAGCCCATATATTACATTTTATACAGATATAATATACTTAAATGAGAGAATTTTAGATTTTAATACAATAAAATTTAATAGTGAACTAAACCTTACAAATGAGAAAATAAATAATGGAATATTATCTACCATTATTAATTCCACTTTATGGACATGCCACAAGGAAGTAAGACTGTCTGAAAATCTCATCACTCCCATTAAAAGGCTTGAAAGTATCTATTACTTAGCAAATCTTCGTAACGTTTTCTAGTCATTTCTACCCACCCCTCTTTTTTTTTTTTTTTTTTTAAAAAAAGCAAGAAACAGGAAATTAAAATGTAACTCCACTCCAAATAAATTTTTAGTATGGCTAAATTATTTATCTCACCATTCTGTTATGATGTTAGATGCTTTAACTTTATTCAGCTCTTCTTGAATGGCCTGTTTGGCTCTTATTTCTGCATCCAGAGCCGACTGCAACTCCAGTCTGGCAGACATGTCCAGTTTTGCAAAACGGCGCATTTTCCATGGCATATCCTACAAAATAGTATTGGTGTGTTTTCAGTTCCTCACTATTTTAACATTTCAATTTAGTACTTCAAAGTGACTTTAAGAGCTACCTAGAAGCATTACCTTGCTCTAATATTAGAACAAAAAACATTACTTGCAGAAATTCATTTTCATTGAGCTCAGAAACAATTATAAATATTCACATGAATGAATGAACGTTTTTAAACAGCTCTTTTCAGTAACTGCAGAATATGGCTAAGTAGTTATGTGCTCTGTTTTCTAAAGTGGAAAAGATCTGAACTGATTCTTTGTGAATATTTTTACAAGTTAAGTCTATAAAAATTGGTAAAAAATAATCAGATTTATTATAGTGTTCTCTGAGCCTTCTTTTTCTCCTAATAAGCTTTCAGACAAAATGGCAGAGCTTACTGTTGCTCGTGTACCCAAGCTGGAATTTCTCAATGCTTCCAATTCCTCAGTCATTTTAGAAGCTAAGGCCTGAAGATATCCTCGTGCATCCTTTTCATCACTGACCCTAGAATGCACACATATGGCGACAAAATAGAAAAGCAAAATGAAAGAAAAATTTCAGTGAGAAACACATTATTTTAAAGGTTCATAAAAAACAGAAGAGATAGAAATATTAAGATATTCTTAAGTAACGTCTTTTAAAAGCTCTACCTTACTGCCACTACTTGTTAAAGTGGGAAAAGGCTTGCTGAATTGTTCAGTTATATACAAATTAAAGGTGGTGATGTTTTTAAGTCAGGAGTTACTCCTATCTGATAATTTGGTAAATCTGTACCCTTAAGCCACAGAATCAGAATGCTTTAAAATCTAGCATTTACTACACATATACACAAGAAAGGCTTTTTAAAGAACACTATGGTTCTCATCCACCCACACCCTTTTTAAAATTGAAGTATACCAAATTTAGAATGTTAAGGTTGGATACTCTGCAAAAATTAAGTTTTTCCTAAAATCATCAAAATAATAAAGATAAAAGATTAAAATCTAATGCAACCCAGTTTCTATTTACTATTTGAAGGTTATCTTACTGTCTTTAAAGGCTATCTGGCTAATAATATTGCTAAGATTTTAGACAGAAAAGTTATCAAATTGTTTTAAATAGGGGCTAGGGATTTAGCTCAGTGGCATAAGCGCCTGCCTTGCAAGCAGGCAGTCGTGAGTTTGATCCCCGGTACCGATAAAAAGGAAAAAGACAAAAAAAAATTGTTTTAAATAAGATAAATTCCACATTTTTGAATTAAATTCTTGATAAACAAGGGCACTGAAGTTGTTGAGTTTTTTTTTAATGAGACACGAAAGCTGGGAAATGGTGGAAGCTGGGAAATGGTGAAGGCTGCATAATAAAAGGTAGAGGAAAGAGCTGCATAGGAAACCAACAAGACTGTTTTAATAATTAACTGTTTATTTATCTATTTAAATTCACTCCCACTATTTGAAACATTCCTCATTTAATCTTCATTTGTATACTGATTAAAAAGCACAAAATGAGTGTTTTGGGGAATCATATAAGAACTCTGATCTTTGTAAGCTTTTCTAGAGAATTCACATTTAAAGCTTTCTTCCTTTACCAGAATTACTTTCACTCTGGCAGAAGTGATTTTGCCAGACACTGCACAAGATCAGTGCAGGAGTCTAGGATCCCAGGTTTGAACATACCCGCTTTAGGTACAACAGATAAGAAAGTCAGTTTTAGCTCCACCATCACTATAAATTTGATTACATAAATAATGGAGCGACATGCTAACTCAAAATTTTTGATATTATGAATCTGGCTAAAGATGAAAATGATTTTGCTTCAGAAACATAGATTTAATGATAAAGATATAAATTAAACATTCATGAACCAATAACTGTTTTGATCACAACCAAGTGTCCACAACCTGGGCGTTTTCCTTTATCCACAGTGAACAAATACATCCATAAGCCAAACATTAGCTATCTAAGAGGTCTACAGTTAAGTCAACATCAAAATATTGGAGTAATTTGAGTAAAATTACTTAAAAACATAATGCTTATTCATTTTTAATTTTATTTAATAACGCTATTAGCCTGGTAAGAAAAATGAAAAAACAGGGGCCAGGGATTTAGCTCAGCAGCATAGGCGCTTGCCTAGCAAGCATAAAGTCATGAGTTCATTCCCCGGTACAAAAAGAAAAAGAAAAATGGAAAAATGCTTGAAACCAAACATGAGCAAAAGAAAGTAAAATTCCCAACAAAGAACTGATCTATAGATATAGGGAGAAAATAGTTGCTTTCATATGAAGAAAACATCTACTACATCCCAAAATGAGCAAAAATGCCAAATAAATATAGAAAGTTATGCTACGTATTTATATTATGAAATAAGTTCTTTGTATTTTACTTTTCTGTGTACTATAAAATATACACATTTTTATAAGAATCAAAATGATCATTTAATTAAAGAAATTAAGAGGAAGGCTAGTAGGCTAAATAAAGTTAAATCCTGAGGCTTAAATAAATGATAAAAGTAAATTAAAATAATTTAAGTTTTTAAAAATGCCATATTTGAATCCATATTATACTAAATGAGCACAGCATCTTTTGCTTCTAAATTTTTCTCAGGACTTCTGTTCCTTAATCAAAAAATACAGTAGTTTTGATCTCAGATGGAAACACTGGTAGATAATGGACAAGTTTCTTCAGTTCTTTAAGGACCAAATCTGATTTACGAGGGGATGATATTTTCTTTTCTTAGGAAAAAATAACAAGTTGGGTGTGGTGGTGGAGTGTGTAATTCCTGCATTCTGGGAGGCTAAGGCAGGATGATCACAAGTTTAAGCTCAGCCTACAGAACTTGGTGATTTACTGATACCCTGTCTCAAAAGTAAAATAATTAAATGAATGGGTGGGTGGTTAGGGGTGTAGCTCAATGCGCAGTAAAGGCCAAGGGCTCCCCAAGAAAGAACAAAAGCAAGCAAGAAAGCAAGCAAAGTAGTAAGAAAGGACAGATTTCAACAAAGCTGAGTAAAAACTGGTATACGACATATGTTAGAATTTCGAAACAGAAAAACATAAACGCAAACATAGCAGAACATGTACATTTTTAAGTAACTTATTTTCTATACCAAACAAGTAAGATAAAAAATGTATTAGCAGCCTCTTACAACTCACACCAACTTGGCTTTAAATGTACAACCATCCACAATAAATACATTTAAAATAGCACTCACCACTGAATTATTTCTGTGATTTGCGCTTCCCAATGTGCAACAGAGTCTTTCTTGTCAGCGAGATCTTTTACCTCTTCTTCTAACTGCTGGTTGCGCATACTTACGTTTTCATACAAGGTGGTAAGCTGAAAGGCACGGTAACATTTAGGACCAGGACTTCGAGGTGCTCAGATACATCACTCACAATCTTCCACTCCAACTCTTACCTTGTTACTATTAGACAACCCTTCTGGCCACTACCTGTGGTCATTTGAAGTACCCTGTATTCTCCTGCTTCTTTTGCTTTCCCCCATATCCTATACTGCACAAGTTCCAACTGTGAATATTCTCCATTTGCCTGAAGAACTGCCCAATTCTACTGGGAGCACCACCACCCACACTGCTTTTCTGCAAGTATCTTTATATCATCTTATTTTTTTAACAGAAATTCATTGACAATTTCAAAAACATACAAAAATGTTTTCTACTACCCACCACTTAACTTCAACAATATTGCTGTAACACCAATCTCATTTGTATTCTGATCCTTTAGTATTTTTCTGAAAAAAAATCAGAAATTATAGTTTCATCCATACATATTTCTATGTATATCACTGAAACTTGAGGCTCTCTTTTTAAATATATTACTTAAACTTCACAAGGCTAATTTCCAGTTATTCAATGTGCTAAAAACCTTAATTTTGTTAAACTGAATCATGATATTAATAGGTAAATGCTATCTCTCATCTATTTCATTTCTCTAGTATACATTTTTCTTATAATTAATAACAGTAAATTGTCCTCTAGAGTTTTCCACATTCTGATTTTTGCCTTCATTTTTAAATTAATTTTTGCTTTACTTAATATTCTAAATGGCAATATTTTTATTTCAATATTTGAAAGATGTCATTCCTTTTTGTTCTGAATTCCTTTTTTTCTTCCCTTTACTGAGAATACAGTTTTTCATCTAATTTTTACTTGGAATATAATGTGTCTTTCTAACCTGGCTGTTTTTAGGATTTTATATTGGCTGCTTTTTGGCAATTCTATGATCTGAGTGATCTCTGATTTCTATTTTCCACCTTTAGGGTTGTGGCTTTTCTTGAATTTGTGTGAGCCTTTTCTTGAATTTCTTATGAGCCTTGGAAAACTACAAGGCACTAACTTTTCACACACTGATTCTACCACAGGAGTGTGTCCTCTCTTTCTGGGAAACTCAACATGCCAGTTCTTTTCATCATATCTTTTACACTACACACCCTCTTTTCTGCATGCATTCTTGCCCCTCCTCCCCTGCTGTCTGGTCTATCTCAACATACACAGTCCTTTCTTTGGCTCTTTCCAATCTGCTGTTAAACTTTCTACTGATTACTTTTCATTTCCAGAAATTCTTTCACTCCTTGGTATGGAGCTCAATTGGCTGCTCAAATTCTTTTATTTTCTTGAACATATAATAGCTATTTGCCAGCCTTCAGAATCACTTGAGACAATTTCTTATAAATCAATCAACCAATATCTACACACACACACACACACGCACGCACGCACGCACGCATGTGTTTGTTTTCTGGAGAATCTAAACTAGTATAGTCCCAAACCACGTTCTAAATTTTTAAAAATCCGCAGTTTTTCATGTAAGAACCAGAGAGTAAATATTTTCACCAGTAAGGGTCACATATTCTTTAAAAATGACAAGATTGTTTTTAGTCTGTGGGTCACACAAAATTAGTCTGGGCCAGATCTGCCCATGGTTTGTGAAATTCCCTTTCTACTTTATAAGGAATTTTCCTAATGATTCTTTGTGTGTGTGTGTGTGTGTTTATTTTTAACCTGTAGTTCTGTGTAGAAACACAGGGCATATGTCACAAGGCAAAGTTTCATTTCTTCCCCTCTCCCAAAGGGGCAAATCACTTTACGTATGTACAGTCTGCTTACATATTCCATTAATACTCCCACCAACTTCTGTCTTCTCTTAAGGAAATGAGTCTACAGCAACTATGATCACCAGCACACACCCTGATGTACCTATTATAAACAAGGGCTTTAAATACTGTACCTCAGGATGTGTGTTATGGCTCTGAAAAATATAACTTACCAGCTATTTCTTCAGTTTTATTGAGATATACTTTATCTAACAAAAAATTCACCCATTTTAAAGGTACATTTCAATAATTTCTTGCAAGTACATATAGTTGCACAACTGCTATATTCTAGTTATGAAATAATTCTAATATGAGAAATCATGACTGTGCTTTATTGTAGTTGTTCCTGGCTCCCATTCTGTATGTGTCATTTCATTTTCTTAATGTTATTCTCAAGGTTTTTGATATTTTTTCACAAAACTGACCTTTACATTGAACTATATCCCCAGCTCTTTTTAAATTTTGAGACAGTCAGTAAGTTGCCCAGGGTTATGTTGAACTTGTAATCTTCTGCCTTGGTTTTTGTGTTTTGTTTTTTGGTAGTGGGAATTAAACTCAGGACCTTGCGCTTGCCAGGCAGGTACTGTGCCACTCAGCTATATCCCTGCCCCTGTTTTCAAATTTTGATGAAATTTGATATACCATTATTTCCTCTCCTATGCTAATTTTAATGGCATGCTTTAACCCCAAATTGCAGACTATTTTCTCCTATATTTTATACTTCAGTTTTTGATCCATTTAAATTAATCTTTGTATAAGGTACGGATATAAGTTACTGTTTCGTAGACACAGATACTCGGATGTTCCAATAATATGTGAAAAGACTATCCATTCCCCATTGAATTAAGTGCACTAGTAGGCCTCCCATAAAAGTGAGGGCTTATTTTTGGACTCTATTCTGTTCTATTATGCCAATACTACTATACATTTGTTATTAGTATACAGTATATTTATGGTAAATATTAAATTACAAGTATAAATTCTCCAATTTGAATATTTTGCCTATTCTAGGTGTTCTGCATTCCCCTATTTTAAAAGTATGCTGATCAATTACAAAAAAATACCAGATTTTGAAAGGTATGTCCCTGAACCTACAGGTTGATTTGGGGATAACTATTAAATTACAACACAATTTTAAAGATTTTTTAAAAAATGCTCTCTAAACAAATATTTTTGGTATGCTTGGCTGATATTTTGGTGGCACTATGGCTAATAATAAAATTAAACCAAACATGAGGCTGACCTATATTTGCTTCAATTATTTTTCAATAAAGTTTTTCTTAAACTGTAATAATATCTTTTACTATGTAATTGCTTAGTAATTCCACATGAAAGTATATAATTATTTTAACACACATTTTTCCATTCAACGTAATTTTTTTTTGTACCAGGGATCAAACTCACAACTGTGCACTTGCAAGGCAGCGCTGAGCTAAATCCCTAGTGCCCCCTGCTTCAAGGTAACTCTAAAGAAAATCTTTAAATTCTGTCTTACAGATATAAATGACATGAAATTATGCAATTATATTAGTCAAGTATATTGAATAACAATTATGTGACCTATTTGGATAAAATTCAGATATTGGTAACTTTATTTTTGGCAGAAATAACTAAGAATTATATAATAAAGTTCATATACTAGTCATGCTTTTAAAAAACTTTATGCTATTTCCATTCAGCTTCTTTATTTACATGCACTAGCTAAGGCTTTACAAAATGAACAGTACTGGTTTTCAAGTAATTTTCAACAAAACAAGCAAAATAATTTTTAAATGTTTAGAAAATGAGGTTATTTTAAATGTTGTAAATGCTTATTCAGTGTATTTTTATTTTAAAAAGTTTTTTTGAGACATGGTCTCATTATGTAGTCCCTTCTGACCATGAATCATGAAGCCTGAGGTAGCTTCAAACTTGTGATTTCTTTGCCTCAGTCTCCTAAGCGTTGGCAACATAGGCATGCACCATCATGCCTGTGCATATAACATTTCTGAATGCTAAATACATATCCAAAATGTACTGAAAAAAAGGGAGCTATGTGAAAACAATAGAAAATTGAGAAAAATTGGAAAGTCTATTTTATAATTAATCATGGTCTTTCAACCTGGTATCAGAACATAATACTTTTATTGGAGGAAAATACAGAAATCATTATAAAAATGTAATTAATGAGTCATCTTAGTTTAAATATAAACAGAACTATTAAAACATCTGGTTACTATTAGGATGTTTTACAATTATTTCTGGGAACTGGTGTACGAAATATAGAATGGTAGCAGTTTGAGAAATCTGAGATAGTAAATAGAAGAAAATTCATTTAAGCAAATGAAATTTGTTCACAAATATGGCTACTTTTAAGTTTACTACATGGTTCTGATCTTCAAACCTAGACTGAGTTGGTTTCCTTGTATTATTACCTACTCACCTTTGTTATCATTTCTAGAATTATCAGTTCTCTGTTGTAAATTTGAAAATGAGTTGGTTTAACTTCTCCAGATTTGGTCTAACTGACTCTGAATATAGACAATCTATATTTAGTCTGAACTTAGTTATCCATCAATTACCCAGCACTGACTGGGGAAGGGATGAATATGAGAGAAAAGAGAAAGAAAACAGGGAAAGTAAAATAAAGAATAAAAGCTCAAAAATTAATAAGACAAAGAAGGTAAGATAAGCAATACTTTCTCTCCAGAAGACTACTGTCACATATGTGCATAATAAAAAGTTTCTTGTGTCATACAAGCACTCATGGCTTATACAGAAGACTTTTAAACCAAAACTGTATAAAATATATAAGATCATACACATGATTCTACCAGTGTTGAAGATCTAGCATGTGCTCAATTAGTACAAGTCAGACTAAATCACTCACCTTATCAAGTTCACTTGTCAACTTTTTATTTTCTTCAGTTAATAATACTTTTTCTCGCTCATATTGTTGTTTGAACTCATTTTCAAATTCTTCCCTTTCACTTTGACTAACACAATTCAAAACATGAAAGGAAAAAAAGGAATTTCAACTGAAAACTTATTTTTATAATAGTTATATAATACACAAATATTAATTTAAACTACAGAAAAATTACTCACACAGAACTCAGTATGACTGTATGCAATGACAGGCCTAATAAAAGCACTTTTGAAGAATTTCTAACACAGACTCCTTTCATTTAGGAAATATTTATAGCATATCTACAAGGAATTAAGGAATTGCTGTGGGCTAGACAGACATGCCCTGATCTCTTAGAGCTTATATTCTAGTAAGGGCATAATAGGCAATGGAAAGTGTGTAAATGAGCTAACTTCAGATTATGGTAATGCTGTAGATACTATTTGTGGTGGGTGGTTAATTTAGATTGTATAATCAGGAAGTTTCATGAAGGTCAGTAAAATAAGCTAACCAAATAAAACCAGTAACTGCCAACTGCTTAATATTCATTAAGTTTAATTCAAAAACAAATTGGTCTGGGATATATTAGGCAGTTTTCTTTATGCACCTATTTCACAATATTCTTAAAAATACACAGTCACAAGCCCTGAAGATCAGGTTAGCCATTTCTTAGTTTTACTGATTTCATTCAGAATAGTATTCCACATTTTGTTAATATTTAGAAGTTAATTTTTAACTTTATAAAAAAGGTACAACAATGGTATAAAGAATCCCAGCATCCTCTTTATCCAGATTCCCTGTTAACATTTTACTTCATTTGCTCCATTACTGTGTACTGATTTCATTAGTCTTCAGAATTAATGGGAGGCAGCCGTAGATACACTTCTTACCTCTAAATACTGTTACTTCCTAGAGTTAAGGACACTACACTACTCAACGTTCCAAATCCACACAATCAAATCAAGTTTTCCCAACCACCTAATACGGTTTCTTTTTCTACTTCTAGCCAGGTCCTGGAAGCTTGGACCCACCTGCAATCAATGAGCTTACGACTGGTACTTGCCCAGTAGAGAGTTTACTGGCTAAGGGATGTACAAACTGCTCAGTCACCCGTGAGGCCAAACTGGACAACATCTAGAGAACTCTCCCTTCACCAAGTTATTAATTAATAAATACCTTAGGGGGCCCAGGGGCTTGGCTTAAGGGCTAGGGGTTTACCTCAGCAGCCTATGCACCTGCATGGCAAGTGCAAAGTCATGAGTTTGATCCCCCTCAAAAAATAAATGAATAAAAATAAAAACACATAAATACATACATAGATACATACATTAGGAAGAGGGAAGACCAGCATTCTGAAAAAGGTGTCCTCTGTGCATGCAGGTGATAAAAGAAAACACCACAGTGGAAGCGAGTTTGTTGAAAATAACCGTGTTTTTAAATTGGCTATCAGATGGATTACTTTACTCACAAAAATCATGAGGGTTCCAAACCCAATCCTATTCCTTTACATGTGAAAACCATACTCATGTGATTTTAGTCTACAGACTTGTCTGCTTAATAACATCCACTTATTTTTCATTTGAACATCTAAGAAAAATTACTGTGACTACAGACATCCTGACCATGCTCATCTTATCTGATTATGCATATTTAAGAAGTATTGGAAAAGGAGGCAGGTGGCACAGATGATACCACAACATAATTCCTTGCTCTCAGCTCATAGAAAATTCACTGTGAAATTTCCAACAGTGCTCTCAATTCTTTCAGTCCTCCTTATTAGACATAAACATACACAGCAAACTTAATATGATAAAACTTACAAACATGATAGCTCTGGGGACAAAACTGATTCAAGACTGTTTAGACGTAAACACAGTTTTAAAGCAGGTGAGGTGGTGCACCCCTGTAATCCCAGCATTTGAAAGGCTGAGGCAGGAAGACCATTGAGAGTTTAAGATCAGTCTGGGCTACACAGTGAGTTCAAGACCAGCCTAAACTGCACAGCGAGACCCTATCTTAAGGAAAAAAAAATTTTTTTAAATATAAAAAAAGAAATGAACACAGTTCTAACGGACTTTCAAAAGCCTCTTAAGCAAAAAACAGAAATCAGTTTAAATATTGCAGTGTCATGGCTATGGCAATTTGGAGGATATTAGCAACAAATAAAATTCAGTGTGGATCAGTCTTAGTAATTTCATGAACACACGTAATGGGTGGTCTTAATTCCTTATATATCTAAATTATTGAACATACATTATAAATTATAAATTCAAGGACAAGAAATCATTCTATCTCCAAGCAAATGTGTCACTTAAATATTAAATTCAGTTATGTTTAAGACTCTTTTCCTAACACAGAAATAACTTCAAAACAACCTCAAAGTTGCAAGTGAATTTTCTAAAAAAAATATGTACATAAATAAACTCAGTAATATTTTTGTGTAAAATCATTCTTGGTTTCTCCTAATAGCATTAAATAAGTTTAAGTCTGTCTCATATTAAAAAAAAAAAAAAAACAACCCAAAACTCTCTCCTGTACCACGTAACACTTCATTTCCACGTGTCTTATCTTCTTGCTCACTGGTAAATATCTTGAAATACTTTGCTACACTCCTTCATCACATAACTGCTCCCCATAACATCAATACCTGTCATCTGCTTCCACCCTCTATCAAACCAGCTTTTATTGAAACTCACCACTGAGTACCCACCCAAAATATCTTAGAAAGCATGATCCATTCTCCCTTTCATGAAGTGCTATCTTTTCTCAGTTCTGGTGAAACCACACTCTCCAGACTGCAGACATGGTCTCTGGTTTCTCAGCTGTCTTTGTGAACTCCTCTCCTTCCATCTTTCCTGTACACACAGTGCTCCCTACAACTCTGCCCAGCTGCTGTCTCTTGTCTTTCTCTGTAGGTGGCTCATCAACTGGAACACCTGGCTTCAATCAGGATCTGTGATGACCTCTGACTGCCAATCTACATCTGTCGCTGTCCTGCACTGCAAACCCCTGACCAAGCACCTCATATTCAACACATCAAACTCCACATGAAAGCCCGACACGCATATAAGATCCTAACACCATATATTCTCCAATTCTTCTAATTATTATAAGGAAAAAAACCTTAAAATTTAATTCTCTCCCTTTATACTCCATAGCTATTTCATTAATTTTCATTCTTAGCACTTATTATTATTAATTATGTTCTACAATTTACTTATTTTTTATTGGCCTTCCACCATAGGAATAAATATGGTGTTTCAATCATAGGAACTTTCAACTACAGGAAAGCTCCATAAGGATGGATTTTTGGAGGCCTGTTGTTTACTGCCACATTTACCACAGTGCTTTGCACATGGGTTCTAGAATAGTTTTGTTTGTTGCGTGAATGAGTACACAAACTGAAATGAGGTTTCCAATATTAAGTTGAAAATGACATAATGAAAGTAACATATACTTAGTTGCCTAAAATCTAGGTACTTCCATATTCCTAATAGTTTTTCCTGCCGCTGCATTTCTTGTAGCTGATTATCTTGTCCTGAAGGCTCTGTCTTCTACAGACCTTCAGAATCCATGCCACTCTCTCCAGTTTTGCTGTTTCCACGTGAGGACCACCAGCTCATTTCTCACAGCTGGGTTCCTACCTTCTGTTTGCTCATTTTCAACAATTTTCTACTGAGTAACAGGAACAATCATTCAAAAATTTAAATATAATCATGCTATTTTCTTTCACTGGCCTTAGAATAAAATCCAAATGCCTTGCATTAATTCATAATTTTGCCTCTATTTTCCTTTCCAGACTTGTTTTTCACAACTTTCTCTTATTTACGTTTCCTTTATAGTATACAACTTTCATTTTCTGAATGTGCTGCTCCCTTTTTCTGTAAATCTTAGCTTTTTCTGCCACCTCTAACTAGGCACTCTTTTTCCTTCCTTTTTAGGTCTCAGCTTGGACACTGTTTGTCTAAAGACCTCAGATGTACTAGGTCCTTTCTGTGCCTCTCCTGTGCACTCACATACTTGTCCCATTTGCTTTTCTACCATACAATGTATGATACATACTACTATTTCCTATGTAAGAAACTTGACTTTGGATTCCTTGAGAACTGGCATGTATATTGCCTCTGCATCTCTGAACTTGACATATAATAGATACTTAAAATATATGTATTAAATGAGTAAATAACTTGATTCTTACCTTTCTCTCCTGGTTTTTTCCAGTTTGTCTTTTAAAACCATAATTTCTTTGTTGAGGGCCAGCTGCTGGCCTTCTGAATCATGCAGTTCTTTCTTCAGATTTTTGATCTCATTTGCATGCATTCCTTCTCTTTTAGATAATTCTTCTTCAAAAAAAATACTTTTCTTTTCCAAATCAGTCTTCAGTTTGGTTATCTCTTGCTGGTGTTCTATGCTGCATACTCCTGGTGAGTAACTAATTTGTTTTTGCTACAGAAGTAATAACATAAGACTGGTTATCTATAAGAATAACAATAACTCTTTTCTATACAACAGTACATATATAACTGTACATCATTTGGTATATTCGCATACAAAAATGGTACTGTTTACTTAAGGCTACTACTTAACTCAAATATGTTGTAAATACTTTCTTCAGTTCACATTCCTTTATGGGCTGTGTCATCTTTTTTTTTTTTTTTTTTTTAAGTGTTTATACCAAGATTACACAGTTGATCTGATTTTTTTTCTTTTTTTTTTTTGGAGACAAGGTCTTGCTAAGTTGCCCAGGCTGGTCTTGAACTTACGATCCTCCTGCCTCAGGATTCAGAGTGAGCGCTACGATTATAGGCATATACCATCATTTATCTAATCAATTTTATTTTTTTTTATCTGAACAACTCTTCTGTTGGCACTTACATGAGTTCTTGTTTTACATTTAAATTTTGGCTTAGAATTATTGTTAGTGTATGGAGGAAAAATGAAAATGTATATTATATTCCATAAAGAATTCTCAGAAAGTTTTTAAAGCACATTCTGTTTTCAAAAGATTAAAATGGAGGATAATGTACAAAAAGAAAAGGAAGGAAGCTTTTGTAATAGTTGAGGAAAATGTCAAATGTCTATAGTAATATCTTCATGTACATACCAGAAAAAAAAGGTAGGTCTCTTGACTTTTAGGTAGGACATAAAGAAGAAGCAGAAATTTGTTGAAATCTACTCTTTCAGGAAATAGGTAAAAATAGCCTTTCAGTAATAAGAGAAATGTAAAGCTCCTAGCTATTGCTGAAAAGTAAACTGCAACACACAGACCAGAGATTATGACTACACAAATTTCTCAGCTTAGTAACTTACAAAGGTCAAGTGAACAAACTTTTGAAACTAAAAAAATCCTACAGATTTAGGTGTATAGACAAGTAATCTAGAGCTAGAGCATACCTTGTCCTTTCTGAAGCTAGTCATAAGAGTGGAAAAAATGGCAATGATAGTTGACCTAAAGTTAAAAGATAAAATGTCCTGGCTCCTTTACATGTGAGGTATATAATTTAAAAGAACAGAGGAATTCATGTGGGCCAGCAAAAACTGCCATGGTCAGGATAGGGGGCAAAGGTGGGGCTATCCTTTACTTACTACTTAGGCAAGCCTGGTGGCATATGCTTATAATCCCTGAGGCATATGCTTATAATCCCAGGAGGAAGGAAAGTTTAAGCTAAACCTTGTCTCAAAATATATAAAAAGACAGACAAGAGCTGAGGATGCAGCTCAGCATGAAGGCACTAGGATTGATCAATCATTCATATATGGGAAGGGAAAGGGAAAGGGAAGGGGGAACAACGTATGCACTAAGTCTAGATTCTTCAATGATTATGAAGTGACCTGGTGTGCAAAACTGCTCTAACTAAGCCCAAGCAAGTCTGCTTCTTGCTCTTGAGCATCTCTGTCAAAGTGATGCCTAAAATGATTCCCCTAACACTGAATTTTCAGTTTTTTAATCACCTGAGGAACACTTTAACTTTGCTGTTGGTTAAACCTCTGGCCCTAAAAGCTTATTTTTAAACACGGAGAAGAGTGCTGGAGCATAGCAGAGGTTGGTGACAAATGTTTCTAGTTGATAGAGAAGAATAAATTATTAAAAATACCAAAGTAAATCATAAAAATGGAAAAGGGATATCCTTGATACAAAAATCTATAATAAGCCTTTTAATAAAGTATCACAATAATAGATTTCTACCTAAACAACTTAATGCAATATATGTATAAAACATTATAATTACTTAAGGAATGATTAATAAATGGAACTGAAAGCACTAGCTAACGATAAAAGAACAGAATATCTTGTTTCATAGCATTTAGCAAAACAAATTCTAAATAGATGAAAGTGTTGAATACTTATAGGTCCCCTGGAACAACATCCAAAGGAAAGTAAAATTAAATATTTTAAAAACTCTAGAAAGAAAAGGATAAGCTAAGCTTTGAAGCAATACTAGAAATGCTGAGGAAAATGTAAGAAAATGTAAAATCTGTATTGTGTAAAGCACTTACACAATATGAACTGACAAGGAAAACATATGAACTGATAAGGAAAAACATTAGGAATACAAAATAATGGGCAAAAAAACTTAACTAGAAAATCCACAAGAAAGGCATGATTAATAACCCATAATAAACAAAAAATTGGAAAAAATCCACAATTTTTTGGACTCTCAAACTTACATAGATTTGTGGTACTTATGAAGTACCTAAAAATGATCCTTCATTTTTAGGTATGTATCCCTTGTAAGAAGATAATATAGAAAAGCAGATGATAAAGGTGTTCATGGCAATTACACTACAAAAGTAAAAACAAGTTAAAGACATAATTGTACAGAGCTGGCTATGAGAGTATTCCTTTTGAACTATTTATAATAACTGAAATTATGTTTATGATGATTTTGAATAAGTAAAAATGCTTACTACACTGTTGAGTGAAAAATACAAATGTTATATGTTGAACTGTGTCTCCCCAAAATTTTTATGTGAAAGACCTAACCACTAGTGCCTCTGAATGTGACTTCATTCAAAAGTAGAGCCTTTCAGAGGTTAAAATAAAATCCTTAGGGTGACGTTTAATCCAATATGAAAGTGTCATTATAAAAAGGAGTCATTTGGACATCAAGATACATACACAGGGGCAACTCCAACATGATGGCAGATGTGGGTTATGGATCCATAAGCTAAGCAACACCAAAGTCTGTCGGTAATTATCAGAAGCTAATTATGCCAACAAGTTAATGCTGAAATTCTAGTCTCCAGAACTGAGACAATGTATTTTTCATTTTTACGATAGATATTTTTTGTTATTTTTTTTTTTAACAGCAGCCCTGGAAAACTAACACAATAAGGAGGAAAAATAAAATCCAGCAACTTTTGGTAATAACTATAAAATATTCTTTTAAAATTATTTTCATAGTGATAATTCATGCGACCATATAATCCTACCATTGTAAAGTTCAAATGTCTTGGTTACTGGCATATTACACTAATTTTTAAAGTTATTTAATAAGTATATATATCAAACACAATTTCCATTTTAATCACTTTACTTTGTGTACAATTCAGTGGCGTTAATTACATTTGCAATGTTTTGCTTCATTGCCAATATAGCTTTCCAAAATTTTATTAACCAAAAACAACGTTCTGTAACAATTAAGAATTAACTCCACAAAACCCTGGTAACCTCTGTTCTACTTTCTTCTTTAAGAATTTGACAACTTTAGACAATTCAGTAACTTGAATCATACATTATTTGTCTTTCTGTATCTGGCATCTTTTACTTCCATGCTATACTATGTATCAGAACATCACTCACTTCTACAGCTGAATGATATGCCATTCCACGTAAGTACCATGAAATATTTATTCAACTGTTAATAGACACTTGAAGCTTCTATCCTTTTGCTACTGTAATGCACACTGGCATAAAGTGTATTTTAGAGCTCTTTTCCCTCCCAAGTATTTGCAGTATATACCTAGAAGTGAACTGCTGTGTCATATGGTAGTGGGTATTTGCCTTTTTGCAGAACCAACAAATTGTTTTCAAAAGAGGCTATCTAATTTAATATTCCCATAAGCTATGTACAAGAGTTCCAATTTCCCCATATCATTGTCAACAATTTTTTCTTTCTGCTTTATCTCCCTTTCTTCCTTCTTTTCTTCTAACTTAGCCATCCTAAAAGGTAAAACGTAGTATCTCATTTTGACTTTAATTTGCATTTCCCTAATGACTAATAATGTTAAGACCTTTTCATGTATTTATTGACTATTGTGTATTTTCTTTGGAAATGTCTATTTGAATCCTTTGCCCATTTTGGGCCATTCATCTTTTTGTTGTTGAAAAGTTCTTTATATAATCTGAATATTAAAACATTACCTGATAAATAACAATATTGACATGTGATATATTTCCATTTATTTAGTTTTTCTCTAATTTCTTTCTGCAATGTATTGTGATTTTCAGTCTACCAGTTTTTAACTTCCTTGGTTGAATTAATTTTGATATATTTAATTCTTTGATATGCTACTGTAAATGAAACTGCTTTCTTAATTTCCTCTGCAGATTGTTCACTGCTGGCTTGCCAAAAGAACTGATTTTTGTTATTGCTCTTACACTTGGCGACTCTGAGAACTGTTTATTTATAAACTCTAATACCTATCTTGATTAGTCTTTATGATTTCCTAAAACATACGATTATGTTATCTATGATGAGAGATAGTTTAAATTCTTCCTTTTCAATCTGTCTGCCTTTTATTTCTTTTTCTTGTGTAACTGGTTTGGCTAGAATCTCCAATGCACAGCAAATACAGCAATAGTGAAAATGGGCATTCCTGATCATATAGGGAAGGCTTCAGTCTTTCACCACAGTATAATGTTACCAGTAAGTCTATAAAATACGTTTTTTATCATATGGAATATGTCCTTTTTACCTATAGTTTTCTGAAAATGTACCATAAAAAGAATTTTGAATTTTGTGAAATTACTTTCATGCACCAACTAAGATGGTCATGTGATTTTTTTTCCTTTTGATCCTATTAATGTGATATATTAGATTGACTTTTTCTCACGTTAGTCACTGTTGCGTTTCTGGGCTACATCCTATTTAAACATGGTGTACAATCCTTCAAATGTGTTTTTGGATTCAATATGCCAGTATTTTGTTAAGAATTTGTGTATCCAGTCTTTTTATGTTTGATACTATAGTATACGAAGGTATACTCAAATATTTCAAGAAAAGACACACTATGGCAACTACTGTTATGTCGGATTGTCTTGTGGTGAAACACTATGTTGCTTAAATTGTTCTGTTCCGACCTATTTTGTTATGTCCTCTTTAAATTATCTTAATCTTTTTTAAAAAAAGAATTTGTGTATCAACATTCATAAGGAATGTTGGCCTACAATTTTCTCTTCTTGTGATATTTTTCTCTGGCTTTGGTATCAGGATGATGTTGGCCTCACATAATCAGGAAGTGTTTATACCTCTTCTGCATTTGGAAAAATTTAAGGACTGGCATTAACTCTTTGAATGTTTGTTCAACCGACCAGAGAAGCAGTTTGATTCTGGACCCTTTTTTGTTAAAAGGGTTTTGATTACTGATTTTATTTCTTTACAGCTCCGCTAAGATTTTTTATTTCATCTTGACTCACTCTAGGTTATTTATGTCCTAGGTGTTAATGACTTCGTGGATACACTTGTTCAAGGTAATGTCATTAATCTTTTATTTGGCAGGTAATAAAAGTATCCACTTGCGTTTCTGAGTTTAGTTATTTGTATTCTTTCTCTGCCTTCTAACTAAAGGTTTGTCAACTGTTGATGTTCTCAAAGAACTTTTTAGTTTAACAGATTCTATCATATTTCTATTCTCTTATTTATGTTTGTTCTAATTTTTACTGTTTCCTTCTGCCGTCTTTGGGTTTAGTTAGTTCTCTATTTCCTTAAGGTGTAAATGTGGCTTACTGACTTCTTTCTTGCTTTTTAATATAGGAATTTATAGCTATAAATTTCCCATATAGTACTGCCTTCTCTGTACCCTATAAGTTCTGATATACTGTGTTTTCATTTTCATTAAGTATTCTCTAATTTTTCTTTCACTATTGATTTCCTGTTCCATTCCATTGTAGTTGGAGAAGCTACTTCATATGATTTCAATCTTTTTACATATACTGAGACTTATTTTGTGGCCTAACATGCGGGTCAATCCTCAAAATTCAATGTAATTCTGCTGTTTTTGGGTGGGAGCTGTTACATCTCTTAAGTCTAGTTGATTATACTGTTGTTCAAGACCTGAATATCCTATCGGTACTCTGTCTATATGTTCTATCTGTTATTAGAATTGCGATACTGACATCTCTAGTTCTTGTTGTAAAATTCCTTTCTTCTCCCTTTGAGTCCACTCAAAAATACTCTTAATGGGGCAAATATTATTTTCATCTTTAAAAGAGCCACAATATCTTTTAAAATTATATTTGTGTTATTTCTTGCCAACAAACCCCATTTTAGAAATATCCTAAGAAAAGTGTAGTACGGTTATAATCATAGCAAATACTTATTGAGTTTTAATGTGTGTCAGGTCATGTTTTCAACTCTTTAAAGGCATTATTTACTTGGTAACTCTATTACTACCTCAAATTTATGAGTGGACAAGTAGGCAAATATATGTAATTCAGAGTTTATGTTGCAACAGTGTTTATTATAGACCAATAAATAAATAAATAAAGCAAACTACTAGATAGAATATGACACTCAAAGTTAGAAAACTAAGGTTTAGATCATGCTGTAATCACTTATGACTACAAAAAAATCCTTTATTCTTCCAGGTCTCAAATGCAAACAATGCCTAAGATTTTTGCTGAAATATATTTTATGATTTTTTATTCTTAATGGTACTTTTTTATTATTCTAAATTCCTAGAACAGTGTTGGAAACAAAGCAGATCCTGAATGAAAAGTATCTCTGTGAGTAATTATTTCTCTAATATAATATTGTTCCACAGGAATAGCTGTACACAAAATGGAAAAAGATGGAATATATCTATTATATATCATAAACATACTAACATAAAGGAGATGAATGTTTACATTTTTAAAATTTATTACAATAAAAACACATTGTCATTAACTTTCCTCAAAATATTTCCCCCCATTTGGAAAATATTTACCCAATCATTCTGGTGTTTGTTTGTTTGTTTGTTTTTTGGGGCAGGGTCTCATTAAGTAGTTCAGACTGGCCTTGAACTCACTATGCAGACTAGGCTGGCATTGAACTCTGACGGTACTCTTGACTCAGGTTCACAAGTGCTGGAGTTAAAGGCATGTACCACCACACCCAGCTCACACAATCATTCTTGCTTCTTTTTGGAGATGTTTTGGAAGTCTTCTTTTGTGACTGTCTAATGAGGTGTGATAAAAAAAATTTGGTGAATGCTGCTGCCAAGTGCCATTCAATGAAAAAGCAGGCTCAATAAAAACATTATAGTATGTCTTCATTAGACCATATTTACCAGATCCGGCACTGTGCAACTCCTGGCTCATTCTCAAAGTCAAAATAGCTGTGCTTTCAGGGTAAATGTTTTAAACTGATTTAGCCACAACAGTGCAACTACAGACACTCAAAAAAAGAGGATATCTAGAAGTACTTCAGAAAATGGCAAGAATAATGGGATAAGTGTGTTCAAAGCTGGGGGGAGTATCTTGACAGAGATTAATGGCAGTGTGTACCTTAATGTAATAAATTTTAAACACTTAAACTCATAAATCAAACCATATATACAGATGATATATCTTTTAACTTATAAAGCTAATCAAGGCTGAGTTTATAAGCCAAAAAAAAAAAAAATCTCCAAAACAAAAATAAGATATGAAATCTAGAATTTATATTTCTATTTGTAGCAGAGGAAGAACATTACTTGTAGACGTGCACAGTAAGTTGGATCTAATTTTCCCAACATGATTCAGTCAGTGATTTAATACTTACTAAACAAGTATTAAATATCTGGCCCAGCACCAAGAACAGGTTAACAATGTACCTATCTATGTTTTCAATAAGCAATGTCACAGTGTAAATGGGGAGATAGTATGAAAAATTCATTAATAAAAGTTATGCTATAGCTATTAACAGAATTCTAAAGTAGCACAAGAGCACTTGGACTTCGTGAGATATTATGCAAAGTTGATTGTGGTATTTTCTGTGACGTATGTCATACTATTACTATACTAATGCTTATTTGTGAGGTATCAGCTTGTAGGTGCACTCCTGACATGAAATAGGATTTTATGGATGAGAAAATTAGAGGATAAAGAGAGTAAGTGTTTGCTTCAGTGTTACACAGCTAGTAACTGGTAAAATTCGAAGTTAAAACTAAGCAGTCTGACTTGAGAAATGGCATAGGAATTTTCTTTGCAAAGCAACTTCTGCTGAAATGTGTTAGCCTGTACCTACTTTCATTTCATCCCAACTAAAACGAGTATCTACAAAATTGTCTGAGCCTCTCCTGAGTCATTTATAAGATAGATGGAGGAGGGGGCATTATCTCTTATCACAACTCATGTGGAGAGGACTAGTACATATTATTCAGGTCATAGATTCCTATTCCCGTTTCTCAGCGTAAGAAAATCATACTAGCTTCCTACTGGTAAGAATGAGAAGTATATGAGGTTTAAAGGACAAACTCTTTTCACTCTACACCAGAGCATACAAAGGAACACTCCTTTCAAACCTAAAAAGAAGAAAAGTAAGAATCACAAATGTTGCAGGGTATGATGGTACATGGCTACGATCCCAGCACTGAGGCAGGAAGATCACTGTGAGTTTGAGACCAGCCTAGGCTACATCAGTGAGTTCAAGGCCAGTCTGTAGTGCTTAGTAAGATTCTGTTTAAAAAAAAAATCGTAAATGTGAAATCAAAATGTACCTTCAGTCCTTCCAACTCATTTTCCAGTTGCTTAGAATAATACTCGCTCTGCTCACGTAGTTTCCTGTCTTTAGATGATTCAGCAACTAGAGCTTCAGTATGAACTTCCAGCTTTAAAATAAAATGAAAAAACAAAAGGATTTCATAGTTACAATTTTTTAAACAATATTTTCCCCATGGGGTTATATTTTCCCCACGGGGTTATATTTTAATAGGAAGATAATTCAAATGTTGAAATTCACAATATTAACAAACTGTAAAATAATTTTCAAAAATTAAAGAATGAAATATATATTATTTCACTAGTCTCAAAAAAGCAACTTTAATCACTACCCAATGGGCACTACACAATTTGCCTGACTACTAACCTCTTTTTTGGCTCTTTCTGTTCTGCGCAGTTCTTGCCTTAAGCTTTCAACTTTTTGCATCACCAGGTCCACCTCTTCTTCCTTATCTCGGACATGGCGAGCAAGTTTCTGTTTTTGGGTGTGCAATTCTGTTAGTCGTTCATTGATCTCCATGAATTCCTGCATGGCCAGTTTCCTCTGACAGTGTGCATCTTTCAGCTCTTTGGATTGGTTTTTTAATCGCTCACTAGCCTGGACTAGTTCCTACAGTTTTGTAAAAAGAATATAAGTTACCAATTCTGCAACCTACAGACCACATTTGGCCATCAAAGTAGCTACTTTTAACTCAAGAAGAGCCAAAATTATTCACCTCAGGACAAAATTAAAAGAAATGAAGGACTTATGAACAAACAATAAGGATGCTGTGTTCTCAATTTCCATGCTAAGTGATAAATTCAAGAGAGCTGCTAATAACTACCCACAACTGGGTCAAGTATAGGAATAGAAGATATGATGGTCAAAATGAAGATTTTATAAAATTCAATAAACATTTTTGAGATTTAAAAAATATATACTGAATAATTACAAATAATAAAAAATCCACAGGGGTTGCTCTTAATGTGGAGACTAAGTAGCAAGGAGGAAAAAAGGAATTCTGAGGCTCCCTGATTCAGAGCAGCTACAGTAGACTGGGATCAGTGAAACCGCCTGCTTCTTGGCAAATACAGAATATATAGATCTTTTGGGTAAGAAAGAACTTCAAGAAAATTTGACTTTTTCACACATTAAGAGCAAGCAAATATGAGCTCATAGAAACAGAACCTCAAATGCCTAGATAACTATTATAATCGAACAATGGAAACAATGAACAAAACAACCACCAAAAATATTTGGGCGTTAGGATGATCATGTGTCAACTTAAGAATGCTATGTGTGAAATGTCAAAAGAAATAAAACAAAAAACTATGAAAATAGGAAAAGAATAAAAGACTATTAAAAAGGATCAAGCAGATTACAAATGAACTCTATAGAACAGTTAGAAGTGAAAGTGTTAAAATTAAAAAAATGAATCTACCAATATAGAAAGCTCTGTATTTATGAAGAGAAAGAAACTCAAAACCAAAAGTGTTCAAAAATGAAACTACATAATGCCAGAGAAATAAAATATCTTAAAGAAATCACAGGGGGAAAAAGGTAGCTATTTTTTTTTTTTTTTAAAAAAGATTCAACTCAGAACAAGCATAAATAATAGAAACAGAAATAGTACAAAATACTTTCAAAGAGATTCACAAAATTGAAAACATGAAAAAAACATGAAACACGAAAGAAATTACTTCTTTATTAGGTTTCACATAAATAAAAACTGACAGAGCTTACCACAATCACATCTGTACTAAAGAGACTTCTACTGTTTTATATCACGAAAAAGAACAATGTATTTAGAAGAAGGTCTAATGCAAGACAAATAAAAGGATGAGAAACTGGCAAACATGAATGTGAATATGAAGAAATGTATGCACATGACTGTTAGAAAAACACCTACTTTGTACTTTTAGTAAAAGCACATGACTATAATGCTTGCCAAAAATAGCATATTAAGTTGGGAAGAGGTAACAGAATTAAAAGCCATTGACTTCTGGGGAGGGGAGTAGTTTAGGATATTAAATTTAGATTATGTTAACAGGATAAAATTTAAAAATAACTATCAAAAAGCTAGAAAGAAAAATCTGAACAAGGAAACAAAGACTTAAGTGTTTTTGTAAAATAAATTGTGGAGATTGGCTGCACATCAATATGCACATACTTTACTAAATTGTGCATTTTAAAATGGTTAAGATGGCAAATAATATATGAATTTATCATAATTAAAATTTTTAAAAGGAAAGAATAAAAACATACATTAATGAAGCATGAAAAAGTGAAATCAGAAAGTAAAGAGGCAGGAATACATCTAGATATATTAGTGATCAAAAGAAATATAAAAGGGCTAAACTCACCAGTTAAAGGCAGTTTGTTATATCAGATTAAGATACAAAATCTAGACTTCAGTAGAAAAAGCATTATTAGGTATAGGGAACATTACCAAACAATCAAAAAAATGCAATGTACTAGGACAAAGTATCATTTTCAATTTTAGTGCACTCTGTAAAAGCCTCAAAGTATACTAAAAAGAAATTAATAGAACTTGCGAGAAAAAACGGTAAGTATATCACAATGATGAGAAAGTTAAATTTCTTAATCATTAATATATAAACTGAGTAAAAGGTGCTAAGAAGATTTGAAAACTTCTATCAACACACATATAGAAGTTGATGCCCTGTATTAGAAACACACACTTTTCAAGAACACACATTGAATATTTTAAGAACAGAAAAATCTAGAACATGAAACAAGTCTCAGTAGCTTTCAAAGAACAGATATATAAATCAAATTCTTCAATAATAGTGCAATTAAATTATAATCATCAGTCTCACCATTAATAAATGAGATTTTAAAAATAAAATAACATTATCCTGCCCTAATCTTATACTACCTACTTGACCTAGTTCAATTTCTACTCCATCCTAATCTAACTTATCTTTGGGACAGAATGCTTATTAGCCAGAAGTTTCTTCTCAAGGGGTATTAGCTGAAATCTGCATCTAAGATCCTCAGAGCATGAAGGCCAGATAACCTCTAATTCAATATAATCCACCTCCATGGTAAATAACACAGTCGCCTTCACCATGACTGTGCGTGCCAACTGTCATGACAATGACCGAGAACCAAAAAAGGAGCAGAAAGAGGTAGCACCCAAATCCTAAGACAAGACAGGATTTTCCTCCTTTATTAACCTATTCCTTGCACTCATTTGTTTCTCAAGAGACTGAGACATTTATTCTCCTATTCTTAGCCAAGAATAAAAGTATTCTTTGCAGCTCAATAGGAATTTAGTAATGTTACTGGTCCCAGAACTTCCAGAGGGAAAAAGGACTTAATTTGGCGTAAAAATAATACCTAATTTATGGTGTCATGATGATGATTAAATCATCTAATCTATGTTAAGTACTTTATACTACAGAAAGTACTATTAGAACAGATAATCAGCTACATAAATAATACCTGTACTATCATATTATTATTAAGAAAATAATACACTGCAATTTAGCCTTAACATAGAAATGTAACAATGGCTTAATATTAGGAAAACTACAAATGTAGTTCAACATACCTGTTTATTAAAGGAGGACCATAATCATATCAGTAAAGTACAGAAATTCAATTTAGTTACTTAATGAAAAAAAACTACTCAAGTAGAAACAGAAACTAACTCCTTTTAATCTGCTAAAAGTATTTACTAAAAATGAGCAGTAAACATTAGTGGTGACATATCACAGGCATTTTTTTTTTTTTAAAAAATCAGAGACAAGGATACTGGCTATCACTACTTCTTTTCAATATTGTACAGAGGTCTTAATTAATGTAGTAATTTTAGTAAAGACACAAGTCATAAAAATCCAAAAGGAAGAAACAAATTTCTCATTATTTATAGAATATTTCAAAGAATCTAAAGTATATTTCATTGAGTTTAGCAATGTTGTTAAAATCATTACAGAAAAATCAGATGGAAAACAAATTTTAAAGTTAAAATTAGTTTAAAAATAGAATAAGAAATTTAAGGAAGGGGGCTGGGGATTTAGCTCAGTGGCATAAGTGCCTGCCTTGCAAGCAGGCAGTCGTGAGTTTAATCCCCAGTACCGATAAAAAGACAAAAAAAAAAAAAAAAAGAAATTTAAGGAAAGACAAGAAGACCTGTATGAAATCTTATAGAACATTTTAAATGAATTTAAATAATGTGTTTAAAAGTAGACAGATATCATGTTTATAGATTAAAAGGCTACAGAGTTATAGAGAAATTATTTTTATGCTTTTGCATAATTTGCCTTTTCAAACTCATTTTATTGACATTTAAGACCTATAGTAAATGCAAGTCATTAGTTTTTGACTAATTTCGTTAGTGAGAAAACTCAGGACATTTATTTTCTGGAGCTCGTAATTTTAAGGAGATGCAAACAGTATCCTAGACCAAAAACTTCCTCTTTGTGAAGCTGGATACATCAGATAAATATGATGATTTATCTATCCTATGGAATGAGTAATTAAGATTCCAATGGCTTACAGTAAAAGAACCCAAGATCTCTCTCTTCACTTCAGACTTTCAAGGAAGATTCTCAGAATGGGTGAGAGAGATGGGAACCATCTGTCTTTTTTCTCTATATTAGCTCCTAGATAAATGTTTTGGGGGTTTCTTCTTACAACTTAAGACTCCTTCCTCATGGGTAGAGTTGTATCCAGCCATATCCAGGGCATTACCTGGGAGTCAAAATTGGCACACAGCGGAGCCATGAGGTAGGAAGAAATAAAGATAGGTAAAAAGAAGACAAGGAAAATCATAATTTTTAAAATTGTACTTTTAAGAAGACTGGGAACACAAAGTTACTCAAGGCTATCAACATGTGCATTCCCTAAGTTAATTTATGGTTCTTTCAATCCAGACACCCATTACTCTCAAAGTTCCTCAAGGATACTGTGTAAGTTAATAAATTACTTTAGTTAAGAAAGAGTGGGAACATGGTCTTAAGATAAAGGAACAGGTTGACAAACTTCAAAGAATCCTTAAATTATGTCTTAAAAAAAAAAAGGACTCCTTCTTTTTCCCTATAAAATGGGCTATTACCTTCTGGGAGAGGGGCCATCTTTTCCAAGGTTTCCACTCCCTCAAGAGAAACATAAATGTTTCCAGTTCCAAAAGATAGTACATATCTCTCTGGAGGGCCCACATTATTTGAATGTAAATATATCCTAATATATTGAGCCTAATATATATCCTTTACACCTCTTACTGACACATCCTGAAAATTTTTTTCTGCAACGGAAGTCAGCGAACTGGCAACTTATTCTGTGTATAGGTGGGTCTAGGTTCCTAATCTCTGCTTTGGCAATCTCCTCAGACCCTGACAGTTATTATGTGCTGAGTATAAGGAAAAAAAATCTGATCTGTTCTTGATGTGTGTGGATTCAGAATATTAATATATACTGGAAAAAACTTGACTCACTACTTTAGTGATGTCAATTCCTCAAAAACTGACCAATAGATTCAATGTAATTTTGATCAAAATTCTCCATAGTTTTCAAGAAACTGAGACACAGACCCATATATATATGGAATTTGATGTATGACAGATGTGACATTATATAACCTTGGGGAAAAGACAGCCTATTTAGTAAATGAACAACTGGTAAACCATGTGAAAAGAAGTAAAATTGAATTCTTATCCCACACTAAGACAGTTAAGGCCTTAAATAGATTTTGTTAAAAGGGCACTGACTCTTTACTTCGATCTACAGATGCAACATGAGTAGGTAAAAGTGGACAAAACTTGGTATCTCTGCCTTAATTTTGTATTTGTCTCCTTTACTACCTTAAACTTTGTGTCTAACCTTCTGCTCAGTTCTGCATATAGGCACATTAATCATTGAAGAAATGTCTATCTAAAAACAGGTTTATTAGCTCTATATTTACCTACCATTATGGCTAGTATCTAGATCATATCCCTAAGACGCATCTTCTCATAAATAGAGTTCAGGGGAAGTGATTGGATTATAGATGTGATGTGTCCACTGATAGGTTTCTAGCTGGCAATGATGGTGCAAGGTAAAGCCTGATAGGAAGTGAGTTATTGTGGGTGTGACCTGGTATACCCTTCCTAGTTCCTTGATGCCACTCTGCTTTCTGCCTACTTTTACACTGCAGGGTATCCTTACTGCTGAGCATTGGTAGAATTGTTAGTTCTAGCCACCAATATGGTTTCTGCTGATATTTTAGTGAGCATGGCTGTTATGGCTTGTGTCTAAAGGTCCCTGCAAAGCTTCATGAGATCATAGATGAGGCTTTTTCAGAGACAACTGAATCTAGAGTGTGTGGTGCTAGAGTCAATTCACGGTGAAAGGCTAGGATCAAGAGCGTTAGGATTAAGGGTATGAGTACTACATGTCCTAAGTATCCTGGATGAGAAATAAGGGATGAAAAGAGCTGTGGTTGTACCTTGTTGCTTTGCTATACTCTGCACATCATGAACTGTTTCTCCTCTGTGATGCCTGTTTGCCATACCACCCTACCTTGGAGTCAAGTCAATTATGGACTGAAACCTCTACAAACTGTTAGCAAAAAATAAACTTCTCTTTCTTTAACTTGTGGGTGTTGGTGTTGGGTATTTTGTCCAAGCAATGAGAAAGTAACTAAGATACTTAACTGAAGACACCACAGAAGAGTACTTAAGGTCGGTTCAAGATCTGGAATTGTCAACTTTCACAGGCCCTTTACAGTGGAACTTACAAGTCTCCAGTCATTATTCTAAACCTGCAGTCACCTTGAATTCAGCAACATCTGTGCAGAGAGAACACTGCCAGACAGATCTCTGCAGACAGATCAAACTGCCAGGGGGGAACAACTGGAACTGAAGCTGCCTACCTAAGTAGGATCAATCATCTCAAAATAACCAAATTGCCCACTTAAACAATAAAAACTTTCCTGGCCATGTACAGGCCTGTAACACCACTCCGGGAGGCCTAGGCAGAAAGATCACAAGTTCCTAGCCTGCTTGGGCAACTTAGGGGGAACCTATCTCAAAATAAAAAAGTACAGGGCAATAGCTCAGTACTCCCTGGGTTTAATCCACAGTAATACCCCCACTGAAGACATAAATATGGAAAACCAAACAAAAAATTAAAGAGAAAAATATAGGGGGAAAAAGCTGCCTTGTATTTCTTATACTGTATGAACCAGAAAATGAAGTAATCACAAAACACAGATTTGACTACATTAAATGTAAAAGTTTTTGTTAATCAACAGTAGAATGACAAGCTACTGACAATGATCTTCAATCTATATAACTGAAAAAAAGATTAGCATGATAAGAAATTCTCAAGGATTCTTACATAACTGTAAGAAAAAGATAACAAGAGAAAAATTTATAAGATATTAAAAAGTGTTTTTGCAAAAGACAAAATGTAAATAAATAATGGGTAGAGATTTATAAAGATGTCTGACCACAGTAACAGAGAAATGAAAGTTAAGTCCACTACAAAACAACATTTTAAATCTAAAAATCTCAATTTAGACTAGACTGGCTAATGAATGAAGACACAGGCACTGGCTAGCTAGTCCTTTTGGTTCCTCAAGAGATGATGGCTGTCTCAGTGTCATAGAACCAGTTAAAAGATAATGATCAATCAGACCACAGCCTGACCAGAATAGCCAGATATGTAAACCCTCAACCCTTGCCTTTGTTTCCCTTCTCTATAAAACTCTGAAGTTCCTCTAGCTCCCTGAAGACAGGCCTTGAACCTCTTTATATGTTATTATCTGTGTGTCTGTGCTGATTAAAAGTCCTTCTTGTCACTTCACCATTGCTTGTCTTGATTGGCGTACTGGAATGGGCGACCAAGCCTGGCCTATGGGACCTCCAGAGATAGGGCTTTGCCCTAAAACTCTGGTAATAGGAACATGTAAGTATGGTAATATGAAAAACTGTTGAACACAAAATGGACCCTGTTCCCAGGAAGACAAAAAACTACCTGGCTGATGGGTATATGGAAAGGTGTTCAACATTACTAATCAGGAATGAAAATGAAAATCACCATAAAATACCATTTCACAACTGTTAGAATAGCTGTTATCAAAGTGACAAAAAGTTTAAAAGAAAAATGTTATGGAGGATAGGACCTCCACATGGCAGATATGGAGACAATGAAATTCTTTCTTACTACTTAAAATTATTGGTGTAATGTTTCTTTTCAACCACCACCCTTTTCTCAAATGATACCAACAAGATTTTCAGCATTAGAATTTATTAAGAATTGGCAAAATACATGTTAATATAAATTTAAAATCAGATTTTTATACTCATTATGTTAATTAAATTTGACTACATATATCCTACAAATAGATACAACTAGTAAATCAGTAGATTGACGAACTACTGACAATGATCTTTAATCTATATAACTGAAAAAAGATTAGCATGAAAATGCTAATATGCAAACCCTCAACCCTTGCCTTTGTTACCCTTCTCTAAAAATTCTGAAGTTTTATAGAGAATTATAATTATAATATTATTAAATTTTCATTAAAGCAAATAGAACACCTATTATGTATACCAAATATTATTATACTTGTCATGAGTCTAGATGGATTTATATAAATCACTGCTTTGAAATACAGTGAGGAGAAAGTTAAAATGTATTTATCTGATTCGATTTAATCTTTAACAGTTTTCTCTACTAGTCCTTTTAACTATTAATTTTATTTATTTGCTTGCTCTCAGTACCAGGGACTAAACCTAGGTCCTTCACTTTGAATTGCACCACCAGTCCTTCTTAATTTTTTAATTTTGAGGTAAAGTCTTGCTAAATCACTACACACCTCAAGCTGGACTCAAACTTGCAATAATGCATCAGCCTCACAGAGCGCTGGCATTATCGATGTGTGCTGACTGCCATTATCTGGTCAGTTGTTTATTTTTAAATCCCACTATTTCCTTACTGGTAGTAAGACTTATAAATTTTCCCCAGAAGGACTTCGTTCTCTGTTACTTATGGCATCACAGCTTACATTGCTGAATGCAATTTTTATTATGCCATAAACTACTAATCCCTTTTTACATTGCTAGAATTAGTGAAAGCCATAGTACATAGTGACATGTGATTTAAGTGTTTCTACTGCTTTAACATTATTTACTCTATTGGGTTGTTACAGAGTCTTAACTGTCAATAAATTTTGCTGATGTTTCTAGCACTATTTAAAATACTATTTGTGTTATACAAAGCTCTTATAAAAATGAATTTAGTTTGTTTATCCATGGTGCTTTGAAAGGAAAACAAACATTTAAAGAATTAAATCACATTTAAAGAATTAAATCACTGAAGTGAGTTTAAATTATAGTCTTTTAAGAATGTACATTTCATCAAATTAAAACTGAAAATTGTGCCTGTATTTTTTGTGCTAAAAGTTTTATCAATTTTTTCATATCTTTTTCAGTAATATTCACTTTTAATTAAGACCTCTGATTAAATTTACAAATGAACAAAGATTTTGAATTTTGAAGTCTCAAGGATACAAAAGTTTCATTAGTACTTAATAATCAAATTATATACACCAAAATAATTCTTGAATTTTTAAGCCAACTTAAAAAAAACAGAATACTATACTGTTGTCATTGGTTATGAGTGACTTCATTATTGTAATCAGGCTAAAGAACATACATGAAAAAGATTTTAAAATGAATTCATATATTTTTACCTTGTTTAGTTCTTCCCTTTCTTGTTGTAAGGTTTTGATTTGTTTTTCGTAAGCTTTGATTTGTCTAAAAGCATCCTCTAGTTCCCGTCTCACAGAATTAGCTTCTTCAAGTTGCTGTTCCAAATGACTTGATTCTAAAAACAAATATATAAAAGCAAATGCTTGAACATGGCTTAAAACAACAACAAAAACCTTTCTTTCAAGAAACCCTGTGAGTACTGATGCCAAAACTAGTATGATTCATAACTGATTAGAGTACTATACATTCACTCTAAAGATTTTGAATGGCATATACCAGTAAATACATGTGCAAAATTTATATGCAGAAATGCCTTATATATCTATTAAGGAAAAAGTCCTATGACTTCAAAAAAGAATAGCTTCAGATCAACTAAACATGTAAAACTTAAGAAAACACAACAAAACCAATCAACCAAACAAACAACACTAGTATACCGACTAGTGTTAAGTGTCATAGTGCTGATGTTACTCCAATTATTATAAAATTTCTTCTTCTAATAGTGTGGCTCCAAATCACCCAGTCTAATTTCACCACTGCTTATGTAAAAAATGAACTCTGATTTCTGAAAGTAAATACTGAAAACTCTGATCTCAACCAGTTCTTCCAATTTTTCAGAAAGAAATGTTATTAAGTAATATTTAACATTATTGGATAAGAGGGTTTATCATAAAATAAAGTAAAATTTTATTTCACAATGCATAAGTGAAATTTAATAAACTGATAACAGTAAAATAAAAATCAATCAAGATGTGACATGCATATGTACCAATTCCCCACAATGAATGTATTATGTATCATAAACATATACTAATAAAAATTAAGTATATACAAAAAGAACTGAAATCAGTGAAAACAGACAAAATGAAATATGCATTATTCTGTTTAGAATATTTTTTGTTCTTTATAAACTCATTATTATAAGTATAATCCTCAAATAGCATCACATCCCCCCAGGAATGTACATATGTAGAATCTCAGGCTCCATGGAGACCTAAAGTGGAATTATAGACACTTCTCAAGTAGTTCCTATGTACAATAAAGTGAGGAGGAACAAATACACAAAGTGTTACATATTGTTGAGTTTAATGTTTTCAGTAACTGCAGTGTTAATAATACTAGTCCTACTGAGAAGAGTACTTTATTTGCTTAGCTAAATCCTATAATCTAAAGATCATTTAAGTGTATCAGTCAGTATATCACGCACTAAGTAATCCTATAATCTACAAGCAAAATAGTCTACAGGCTTATTAAAATTTTGTTCTTCTTCCTGGCAAGTGCAAGGACCCGAGTTCCAGTTCAAAAAAAGTTTGTTTTATTTTTGCTCTTTTGAAAGTCTAGATATATTTATGGATAGCATAGTATTTAACAAGTTTTTATTTGGTTTGGTTTTTTGGGTTTTTTTAACAAAGGGTCTTACTCTGAGGTACAGACTAATCTGGAACTCTGTATGTAACCTAGGCTGGGCTTGAATTAGAGATCCTTTTGGTTGGCCTCCCAAGTCAGGGGATTATAGACAGATAACATCACAAGTGGATTAATAACTTTTGAAGATATATGCAAAACGTATTTAAGCAGTTCTCAGTTTATCTTAAGAGTATTTTAATGAAAATATCTGAAGAAGAAAAGTGAAAGTCATAGTGTGCTTAGCCCTAAAGATCACGGAATATTCACTTCTGATATTCAAAACAGTTTATAATTTTCTCAAACTGTGAAATTTTATATGATAATTTTCTTGTTTAATTTCTTTGAAACATGTTTAAATGATATTTTCTGTTACTTTATACCTAACATTTCAACAATTTCTAAGGTAGATATCAAGGAGTCAAAACTTTGGATGAAATAGTCATTAATGACTACTAAAAATATCTTAGGCAAAACAGCAAAACAATTAGTTTAAGTTATTAAAAACTAATTTTAGTGAATAAACTGAAAAACCAAGATTAAGAAAGTACATTAGCTCATATAAACTAAATGATTCTTAATTTATGGCTGTCAATAGAATTCCAAAATTTAATGTGTTAGTAATGCAGATTTAAGGAAGACAAAATATATATATATAATACTTTTCTTTGTACTGTGAGGCAAAGAAACATATACACAAGAGACATATAAAGTATGATCTCTAAGTTAGAAAGACAAGAGAAACACTCATCACAAATAAAGAACATCTAACACAAACTGTGTGGTAGGTTATATGTGCTAGAGGATTTGAAAGAAAGGCACAATTGAGAGATATTAAGAGAGTACTCAACATACAACACTAGAGCCAAGCACAGTGGCTCATGCAGTAGTCCTGTCTACTCAGGAGGCTGAGGTAGAAAAACCCAGGAGTTAAGAAATCAGTCTCAGCATAGTGAGAGACTGTAATTAAATAAAAACAAAAACAGTGCAACATTGGTAAATTGGAAAGGAGATCACAACTGGAGTCACAGGAAAGTTTGTAGAGCAATCAAACATCTTGATTCACAAGCAGCAATTCTGTAGCTTTTCCATTATATTCTTTTCTTTAAAAAAAAAAAAAAAAAAAAAAAAAGGCCAGGCATAGTGGCACACACCTTCAATTCTTTAGTATTTTGCGAAGCTGAGGCAGGCAGATCACAAATTTGTGTCCCACCTGGACAACTTAGCAAGATCCTGTCTGGAAAACTAAAAAAGGGCTGGGGATGTCCTAGCTTAAATCAACAATCCCCCTTCCCCAATTATTTCTCCTCAGAGACATGAAGATATTATATTTCTATAAGAGGGCGACTGAGATACAGATTGAAAGACAAATGTTAATTCAGGGTTAAAAAACGGAGTACAAAGAAGAACAAACACCTGACCCCAGGCCAATACAGAAGTTTAAAAGATATACTGTGTTCTACAACACATGGCTCACTTAGAAAACAAAAATATCCCTTTATTGCTCAAATTAAAATATTAAACAAGGGTATAATTTTTTATTTTGCTTGCATACATTAAATAAATATTTATATACTATTTTGTTATATGGTACCAGGCATTGAGCCTGGCTCCAAGAATAAAACTAGTTCTGTCCCTACCCTCTAAGAGCACAGAACGTGATGAGAAAAGCTATATTAAAAAGAAATTGTAAATTATTACAAATGCATTAGGGATGCATTAAAAAGAAACTGTAAATTATTACAAATGCATTCTAGGAATTTTAAAATACTACAAACTGCTATTATAGAGAAATACAGAATGTGAAATCATTAGTGGATGATTTCACTTTGTTCGGCAATATATGGAGAAAAACTAGATTGAGAATGCTTCGGACACTCTTCCCTCCAGAGCTGAAGTCAAGTGGGGGGCTATTCATCAGACAGGTATTTACAGAAGCCCGTGTTATATCTCTGCCTTTGATATAAAAATACTTGAGGCAGAGGAGGCTTTGCTTTTACCATAACAAACAACATTACATTCAAATTTAAGATGGCTTGTGTTTAACAGTGAATGAGGCACAGCTCTTACCTTCAACTTCACCACCAAGCCTCTGGTACCAGCATAACTCCTAGGACATGACAGGAATCAAGTTTTATGGATCAAATAAAGAACAAATGAATGTTGCTAGTGGAAATGTAAAATGATACAGCTAATGTGGAAATAACTCTGTATGGTGATTTCTCCAAAAATTAAATCCTCTAAACCATAACAGAATTAAGGTTGGTGGTATAAATCAGTGCCAAAACACTTGCCTAGCACATACAAAGCCCTGGGTTCAATTCCTAATATCACAAAAAATTCAAAAGACAGAATCACCATATAATCCACAATTCAGTTCTGGGAATATACCCAAAAGACATGAAAGCAACAACTTAGATGCATTTATGTTTATAGCTACACTATTTGCAATGGTCAAAAGGTAGACTCCAGTCATATACTCAATGGACAGAAATGGATAAAACAAAAATGTGTTATATTAATACAATGCAAAATTAGCCTTAAAAACAAAGAAAACTCTTAACACATTCTATGACAGACGAATCTCAAGGATATGATGTTAAGTGAAATAAGTTAGAAACAAAAAGATAAATGTTGTATGATTTCACTTACACAAGAGTCCTAAAACAGTTAAATTCACAGATTCAGAAAGTAAAGTTGTGGCTGCTAGGGACTAAGTGGAGGGGTAAGAAAAGAAAAAAATAGAGAATTACTGAATGGAGGTAGTTTCAGCTGGGGATGATAAAAAAAATTCTAGACAGATGATGGTGATGGCTGCCTAATAACATGAAATGTACTTCATACCATTAACAGCAAGCTGAAAAATGGTTAAAATGGTAATTACAGTGGCAACCAAGTTCACAAAATTAACTCTTTCCAAGATTCTGGTTGAAAACCAAATTGGATAAAAACCAAATTAAGTTTCCCCATGAGGTCAACATTGAAGAATTAATGTTATTTATATATACATTCTTTTTGGTGCCTATACCCCAGAGTTAGAGCTGAAAAAGATGGTAACCCAGAAAAGCCAACAGATTAACAGAAAAGACCTGAACAAAAGTGTGTTCTTATCTAAAGGAAAAGAAAAGGGCCATGTTCTATTTCCAAGAGAAAACTCTCAGAAAATGATGGAAAAGACTGTGCCTCCATGCTTACCCATACTGACAAAGCACAAGTGAGAAGCCAGTTTCTTATCTCACGAGGGTGCAATGAAATGTCCAAACACAAGTGTGGTGGTAAGACTAGCTGGTAAAAGCATATCCTCTACCTGGTAAAAGCACACCTTGCCCCTGACAAAGCATCAGTGGACACTATGTAGGAAGCCTGGACGTCTACCTCTAACATTTGGGCAGTAGGGTGCTCTTCTCTTTTTCCTCATGGGTGAAATGAGAGGAGCTTAAGAACTTTCACCATCACCCAGTGGCAAAAAAAAGCGCCATTGTCTTAGTTACTTTTCTCTAGTTGCTGAGACAAAATACTTGAAAGCCAAAGTTAAAGGGGAGAAAAGTTTATTTAGCTGACAGTTTGTAGAAGTTTCAGTCCATAGTTGACGACTCCAAGAAAGGGTGGCATGGCAGACAGGCATCACAGAGGAGAAACAGTTCTTGGAGGGCAGAGTGTAGCAAAGCAACAAGGTACAACCATAGCTCTTCTTATCCCTTATTTCTCATC